AGCATGAAAAGCAGCCACAGATAATCTGTAAACAGATGTGCCTGGTGTGTCCCAATAAAACTTTATTTATAGACACTGAATTTTGAATTTCATATAATCTTTACATGTTGTGAAATATTTTTTTAGCCATTTAAAATGTAAAAACTATTCTTCCCTTGTGAGCCATACAAAAACAGGCAGTGGGCCAAATTTGGCCTGCTGCCCATAGTCTGCCAACACTTATTCTAGACTCTTGGCATAGGGGTGCACAGTGGATCAAGCAAAGATCCCTGCCCTCATGCACCTTACATTCTACCAACAGGGAGGTAGATAATAAACATAATAAATAACCAGTTTAGTACACTAGAAGGTGAAATAGGGAAAAGGTGGGTCAGGAGCACTGTCGCAGTATTAAATAAAGGTGGCCTTTACTCTGAGTGGAGGTGATAGGAAGGAATCCCTGTGGTCTGTACTACTGAGGAGAAACCAGAACTGCTGTAGAGGTATGGTGGCCCCTCCCATGAGGAAGTCCCTACTCGTATCCATAGCAATCAAATTCCATGTCTGGATTCCCTGCTAATTTGGTTCTCACCAGCCTACTTCCTCGCTACTTCCTGATTCATCTTGTTTATTTTTTACTTAAATTTTTATTATTTCTTTAATATATATTTTTTTCTTTATTGATTAAGGTATTACATTATGTGTCCTCATCCCCCTGTTGCCCTCACCCCCCACCCCCTTATCTTCTTTTTTTGCATAGAATTTGAGCCAGTGGAATCTTTTATTCCAGTGAAACAAAAATAGCATATTTAGCCCTAACCGGTTTGGCTCAGTGGATAGAGTGTCAGCCTGCGGACTGAAGAGTCCCAGGTTCGATTCTGGTCAAGGGCATGTACCCTGGTTGTGGGCACATCCCCAGTAGGGGGTGTGCAGGAGGCAGCTGATCGATGTTTCTGGCTCTCTGTCCCTCTCCCTTCCTCTCTGTAAAAAAAAATCAATAAAAATATTTTTTAAAAGATAGCATATTTACCTTCTCATCAGTGAATCTAGAAATCTTGCCTCAAAGATAAATTGCCATATATTTACACAAATGAACATAAATTAAAAAATTTATAAACAGGTCAGTTTTTCAGAGAACATGTATTATTTGGGAGTGTGGATTGTTCTTTCTGTGACCGCTTACAGTCTGCTAACAGTTGCCAGCTGGTTATTGAGCACCTACTATTAGCTTCAAACTACCTGCTCATGCCACTTAAGACCCAGCTCCCTTCACCCTGGTTTACATTCTACCTCTAGAGCCTCCTTCTCTGCAGCTCTTCCTTCACCTACTACACTTCCCAGTTTACAGATATTTTTCAGATACTGAAATATGCCCACTTTCGTGCTTTGCACTACCTGTTCCCAATGCCGTATGCCTAGAATGCTGTTTCCCCAGTCACTGAATACTTGTTTTTTCTTGTTATACGGATTGACCATCCCAGTGAGAGTTTCCCAAAACTCAATCTAAGTCACCACCAAAGACTCTCATTCACATAACATTTATTACTATCTGATTGTGTGTGTGTGTATGTGTGTGTGTGTGTGTGTGTGTGTGTGTGTGTTGTGTGTTGGTGGTGGTTTTATTTATCTGTCTTCCACCTGGAGATGTGAGCAGTGATTTTTGTTTTGCTCACTTCTCAATTACCTAATCTTAGAACACTAACTTGCATGTATTAGGCACTCAGTATGTTTTAAATCAATTAATGAAAGAATGTGTATGTATGCTCGTGCCCCATGCCCAGCAGTGGTGGAGGCATCCTTGGACTTGCATTCTGCTCTTCTCATCCCCTTCCCTTCTCTCATACACAGTCTAGTTTCTTTAAAAAGTCCTCTATGTTCCATTCTCCAGCATCTTTTCAACTTGCAATGAACCCACTACAGTCAGACTTGTGCCCCAACCCCTCAAGTGAAACTGCTCACAACAGTTTCCAGTTGCTAAGTCCAATGGGTTTTGTTTGTCTTCATCTTACTTGACCCATCAGTAGCTTTTGACAATTTCCTTGAAACATCATCTGTTCTACCTTCACATTCATGACACCGTCTCTCTTGGTTTTATTTACTTCTTTTAAACAACATATGCTCATGGTTGCAATTTTATGTCACAATCAAGTAACATACTTACCTTTTCAGATGAAAAATATTATTTCTCCTTAATAATTTCCTGTCTTCTGGTGCTCTACTACCTGAGCTAATGTATAAACCACTATAATGAGTGGTGCATGCGTAGTTGTTAAAACTGTATTTAATGCCTTTTAGCTGGTCTTAATTTATGAACCACATTTTAAATTGGAGAATACAAGACATTTGTTGGTTATGTTTTTTATTATATCCTAATTGATAATAGCTGAGGTTTTAAATTCCATTTTGTATAGCATTTGTAGTCATTTTTAGTAGAAGAGATCTTTAAGGTTATTGTCATCCTCCAGTATTCCATTTTAGGAAATAGGAGCTAAAACTAAAGTTGTTTGAAGAAGATTTTTATAACCCGTGTTTTCCTGTGTCAAGAAAATAAAATCTCCACAAACCACCTGTTTGCCACACTGAACAGCAGCAAACGTATTTGTCAGACCAGCACTCTGTTATAGGATCCCAATAAAGAACATAAGAAATACACTTATCCAAGTTTAATCTCATCTTTCCAATCTCTCCCCCCCACACACACCCCAATAAACAAAACAAACAAACAAAAACAACCAGGGTTAGGGGAAGGACAGATTGGTTTTTCGCCTTTTTAAAGCCCCTGCTGCCTCCGGGGTTTTGCTCAATCCATTTTCTCCTTTCTTTCCTCTGTTTTCAATGTCTCCATCTCTGCTAGCTTTCTCACAGGTTCAGGTCTCTCCCATTCTAATCACAAACTTCACCAACACCCCCACTTCCTCCTGGGGCCTACCTTTTCTTATTCTGCCCCTTCTTATTCATGTCTCTCAAAATACATGTACTGACTGTCTCCTTTCCTTCAACTTTTATTTCATTTTTTTAAGATTTCTTGTTGTGAAATGTAATATACATGCTGAAAAGTGCATAAAACGTGTACAATTTAATAAATTAGTTCTATAACACACACTCAAATTATATAACACCACTATGTTCAAGAAATAGAAAATTGCAGCTACCCCAAAACCCTCTGTGCACTGTTCCCTTCCTCCAGAAGTATAAGCATCTTCCTGGCTTTGTGGGTAATGATTTCCTTGATCTTCTTTATAGTTTTACCACAAACTCCATCATTTCTCCCCCGACATTGGCTCCTCCTTCTTTTCTGAATCAGTTGTTGGCATCTTTTCACTATTCAACCTATTGCCTTCGACTTTTACCTTCCCACTGATTCCAAAATTCTTAAAATAAGTTATCCGTGAACAATTGTAAATCTGACAGATGTTTCTTAGTTCTAATCCCACTAGGCCTCTGCTCTGTTTGACTTCATAGATCAGCTCATCCTCCTGAGCCTGCTCTCTAAGGTCTGTGACTATATTCTCCGGTGGCTCTGCATCCTTTAACCTTTCCTTCTCTCCCCCTTACATGTTGTTAATGCCCAGGGTTCCGGCCTTAGCTCGCTGCTGTTCGTATTGGCTGTGGCGACCCTGTTCCTCTGGTCAGTTCTACCTCCACTGTTGAGCAGAATGCTTTCAGATCTAATCTTTAGTTCAGATACGTTTCCTAAGCTTCATCCTACGTAGACAACTTCCTGGTGGCCATCTCCACCTAGAGACTCAACATCCAAGGCAAACTCCATCGTTTCTCCCCCGACATTGGCTCCTCCTCCTTTTCTGAATCAGTTGTTGGCACCACTACTCACCAATTCACTCAAGATAGAAACCTGGAAAGCATCCTGATTTCTTTTCTTCATTCCCTCTTATCTTTTCAAATTTCAAGTAATACCAGTTTTATTTTCAAAAAGTACCCAAATCTATTCCCTTTTCCTTATTCTTATTACTCTGGTAGTTTGGGCCCTCATCACCTCACCTATAATTGGCCAACAGCCACTTCATTGGTCTTTCTCCTACATCTAACCTCTTCTTGCTTATAGTCACCCTCCTTATAGCTACAAGCCAAAGTGGTTTTTCCAAAATGCAATTCTAACTACTCTGCTCCCACACTTAAATCCTTACACATAACACTAGATAAAGCCCAAGCTCCCTAACATGACTTATAAGCCCTCCATTTTTTTGCCATGCTTTCTCCAGCCTCATTTTCCTTATACCTGGTCATGCATCTTTTTGTTGTTGTTAATCCTCACCAGAGGATATTTTTCCCATTGATTTTTAGAGAGAGTTGAGGGAGGGAAAGAGAGAGAAAAAGATAGAGGAAGCATTTATGTGAAAGCGCCATACCAATTGGTTGCCTCACACATGTACTCCAACCAGGGCTGGAGATGGAGCCTGCAACTCCAGTGTTTGGGCCAGCACTCTAACCACTGAGCACACCATCTTATACTTTGTTGGCAGGTTTGCTCTTTCTTAGTTTCATGCCATTGTTCATGCTGTCCCCTCTACCAAGGATTATCCAGTTGACTTACACCTAATTCTTTGAGAGTAAGTTTAAAATTTGTATTTCCAAGAAAGCTTTCCCTAACTGCCTCACCCCATCCAATGGTGGGTCTGTCTTGCCGCTCCATTAATACCTGTACATGCTTCTATCACTGTGTTTACATTGTCCTGTCATTATCTATTTATATGCCTGTCATGTTCTACTAGCCTGTTATCCTTTTCTATCTGGGATACCTAATACCTAACACAGTGTTGGGTATAATGCTGAATGGAATGAGGTGTGAGGAAGGAGAGAAAAGCACACATTGACATTAAGAATAAAGGAATTGTTACCGTGTTACACACTTTACAGAGTCATCTGAAGGTGGGGTCTCTACACTGACTTCTAGAAGACAATATTTCTAAGGACTCTCTTACCTAAAAAGAGCTTTTTTAGAAAGAATGAGGTTTTAATTTTCTTCTAAGTTTAATAAAACCTTACAAATATTCATGTTGCAGACTAAACCTGGACCACCCAAAAAGCCGAAGACTCCTTCTGGACAATCAGCCTTAATGTATTGCTACAACTGTGGTCAAGAAGGCCATTATGGACATGTAAGTCTGAGTGGCATTTGGGCATAAAGCATTCTGTTGTCAGGAAGCGATTGATGAAAGATGAACTCAAAAATAATGTAATTCTGAATGCTTACTTTTTTAGAAACTAACATTCTAAAGTGAGATTTAATATAGTTTCAACTAATGTACTTCTCTCATTCCTGCCAATTATGTTCCTAAATGTATGTATGTACCAGCTTGATCAGATGCTCAGAATTACAAATCAAGTATATAATGCCAAAATTATGATAAATTAAGTTAAACTTTATATGGATTTTTCACATACTTTCTTCCTAAGAGGTATTCTAATTTTTCTTCAATACTTAGCTAAGAAGTATTGAACTCGCATAAATAAATTTTAGGCAAGATGGCAAAAGACAGAAATGGGAACGTTCCAAAGGGAAACCTCTTTCAAAGAAAAGAAAGATGTTTGGTTTCAGGCATGCTGAATGGATATATGTCACAGGTCATGATTTTTTTAAAAGCCTACTGCATAGGTGTATTTAGGCCAAGGATATGGATTTGGAAACTATCAGGCATGGGAAGGTCAGAGTCATGAGAATAGGGAGCTGTCCTCGGGTAATGAATGACAGGAGTGATCTGATCTTGAGTGGAGGGAATTGAAGAGATGAGAGGGTTCCGTTGGGGTGTTTCAAAATCACCTAAGACAGCAGTTCTCAACCTGTGGGTCGTGAACAATGAAAATACATCCTGCATATCAGATATCTACATTACGATTCATAACAGTAGCAAAATTACAGTTATGAAGTAGCAACGAAAATAATTTTATGGTTGGGGGTCACCACACATGAGGAACTGTATTAAAGGGTCGAGGCATTAGGAAGGTTGAGAACCACTGACCTAAGAGCATTTCAAACTGGACACAACCCACCACCACACTGCTCCCCACCATAAGAATCAACTGTTTCCCCCCAGTGAGTATTTGTTAAACTAAGTTTACAAACCACTTGTGTGGTAGGAAAAAGAGCACAGAGCTAAGAAGTTACACCCACATCTAGGGTGTAAATGTGAAGGGGAAAGAGAGGGGGGAAAGCACTTGATGAAAGGCTGTTGAAGAGACAAAGAAGCACAGATCTAATACAACATAAGGCCAAATAAAATAAACCCTCCAACAGGTATGAGGCAGTGCAGTAGGAACCTCTCCTCTTCCTCCCAGCCATTGCTGTCAACTCAGCCTGGGGGAGTGGGTTGGCAGGAAAGATTGAAAAAAGATAAGGTTTTCATAGGTAAAGAAGTAAGAGAAGAAAATTCAAGTCTGAAAAAATACTTGATTGGATGTCAGGCTGGGTGATCCTCCCAGTGTCCCAGCAAGACCACAGCCTGCAGCCAAGAATGCCTATCAGTGATGTGGGACTCATCTCTACTTACAGTCACCCATAACCTCGCAAAAAGGTTGTTAGAACAGTATGCCCTTGTGACATCCTAATTTCAAATACAATTTGCAGGAATGTACAGAAAGGCGAATGTTTAACCAGACCTTTCCAACATCTCCATTCATCTACTACTATGATGACAAATATGAAATTCGGGAGCGAGAATACAGAATAAAACGAAAAGTAAAAGGTATGTTGTTAGACTTCTTGCTAGATCAACTTTGCAGTAGTTCCCAAATTTCTATTTTCGCACTGTTTTTACCTGCTTTGGGGGTCATTGGTTAACACAGAAAATGTTTTTAATTACCATGGAAACTGGAATTTTCTTGATCTCCAGAAATCAAGTACCTACTTCAAAAATTCTATGTTGTGCCCTGGCCGGTGTGGCTCAGTTGGTTGGAGTATCATTGCATACACTGGAAGGTCATGGGCTCAATTCCCAGTTAGGGCACATACCCATGTTGCAGGTTCCATCCCTAGTTGGGGTATATAACCAATGGAAGTTTCTCTCTCACATCGATGTTTTTCTCTCTCTTTCTGTCCCTATCCCTTCCTCTCTAAAATACATTTTTAAAAAAAAAAAAAAATTCTGTGTTGTAATCTATTCCCAATAAACATTTTTCTAACATAATGATAATTTTAGGAAATGTCCAAAAAGGACTTCTATCCATATATGTAGGCAGAGTTTTAAAGGCTCTTTGAGATTTTTCTGTTTGACTAGTGATTTGTTCCCCGTTTGTGTAGCTCTAGTAATTTTCATAGAAAGACAGGCATCCCTACTGGGTGACTTCCTGGAGCTTCCCCAAAGAAGTCATTTCCTATCGGCCATGAGCTGAGCTCCAGGTCCATAGCCACCCTCTGTGGCTTCTTTATTATGTTGCTATAGCATAAGGTTCTTTCTCATTAAATTATCCTATAACGTAAGCCTGTTTTCTCTACCTCTGTTCTTTCTTACAATATACTTCAAGGTGGTTTACCAATTATTTGTCTTGCTTTGGGGACAAACAATTCTTTGTTTTTCAAGTTGACCTATACATTGTTGATTCTTTGGGCCTTTTTTGTTACTCTTTTCCAGATTCTTTTTAAAATATTAAAAAGAAATGCACCAAAATGTCGTCTCTGGATTAAAGGATTATGGGTGCTTCTGTTTTATTTTCTTTATGCTTTTCTTTAGTTCCCAAATTTTCTGTAATGAGTGTTTATAAGTTTTATAATCAGAGAAAAACGATTTAGTTTCCTTTTTAACTGGTTATATTGACAGCTCTGCAGCACAGATTCACTTTGAAGCTTGCTGTGATTCATTGGAATTTTCATTTTATGCCGAAGTCTATAAGTCATTACTTATTTTTTTCTCTATATTCCAAAATTCATTTTTAAATATATTACTTTGCACTTCATTTCATTTGGAGGGGAGGCATTTCTTTAGTCTCTGAAGATTCTGTTGACATGTTAATTTTCATCCCTTACTGTAACCTCATCTCCCACCTACCCTGTCAGAATCACAGCTATCAGATCCTTGTAGTGAGAGCCAAGTCCTCACAAAACATAACATCAGATCTGCACAACGACATACTCAGTCTCCAAGCCAGCGATCTCTGCTCTGGAGGAATAAACTGTCCACTTTGGCATCCACCTCTAACTAAGTACTGTGGCCAGACTTTATCTTCAGGGTGTAATTGAAATATCATATGAGTCTGTCAATAAGACTGTTGTGCATCTCGCTTAACCTTATTATCAAGGGCTGTCCCTTGAATTGGTCAGACATGTCTTTTCTTCAGGAAGCTAGGATGATGACTGCTCTCGCTCGCCCTCATCTGCACTGTTTAACCTAGTTAGATTGTATTGAACAGAATGATTATCATTGGACTGCTGGATGTTCACTGTTAGCAATCAGAAATGTATAACTACAGCCATATAGTTCTTAGTGAGTGACTTTTACTTTAGTAAGGGCCCTTGAGAAGGCCCTATCGTTAATGCATTTAAATGTCTGGCTTCCCTCTCTGCTAAGTTATTTACAGACTTAGGAGAGTTCTGCATGGACTGTCTTGCTGCAGAATATGCAAAAATACTTTTATATTTTCCAGAACTCCAGAAAAATGGGGAATTTCCAAGGCAGTTCAAGAGGCCGCATATGAAAGCAGCAAATCAGAGGTCCCACCATGACATGAAGAAGAGCCACGCCTCAAGGAGAAACACAAGGTGGCCTCAAGAAAAGAAAGAAACCCAAAAAGAAACAATGAGCAGGAACAACAGAGAGCGTGAAAAGCACAGGAAGGCCGACAGGTGTCATGACGTGGATGAGGACTTTCCCAGAGGCCCCAGAACCCACTCTTCCTTGGGCACCTTCAAAACCCAGAAGCCTCACAAGTCCTTTCACCACTCACACCAGCACGAGCCAGGAGAAGACAAGCTGCCCAGAGAGGGCAGGCGGGGCAAGCATAAGAAGGAGCGCCGCGGGGAGGAGGAGAACGATGATAACTTATTTCTTATTAAGCAGAGGAAAAAAAAGTCTAGACTGTGAGGCCGCTGCCGGTTTGGCTCTCCAGCATTTGTCTGCTCTTCATGTCTACAGCATTCTGCCAATCTTTTTACTAATTAAAGTGAATTTGTTTTGTTGTTTTGTTTAATCTCAGCCATACCCTAGAGCTGCTGAAGGAAGACCTTGCAGATCTGTTCTCTGTGTCCAGCAGGTTGCTAGGCGGGAAAACAAAAATAAACTCGGACTTCCCCTGATCCAGTTCATTTTTACTCAGAATCCTACAGATTGGAAGAATTAATCTTTTCAAGAGAATTTTTAAAAATACTTTGAAAAAATTAAAGCTCATCAAATGTAATTCATCTTCAGTGTGCATATGTAAATTAAGTCCTGGCAGGAAGAGAAATCAACGCTAACATGAAAAATTCATAGATCTTTTTCATCATTACTCTTTTTCTAACATTGGAAAGGATAATAGTTAAATATCTAAGCTTTACTGGCTTCTGAAGCTGGGGTCAGAATCTTCCTTTGGTCAGAGCATCAGGGATGAACAATGAAGGCGTCGTCACTGAAGCCCTGAAGAAGCAGGGAAGTGGGCTGTTGTGAAATACAGGCAAGGAATCCATCCAGTGTGAATGTCCCAGGACAGATTTCCTGAAACAAGTGAAAAAGAGTCCTCAAAACTGTTGATGTCATCACCATGAAATAGTTTCTACCATTTCTACAGCCACACTTCCAGAACACTGTCACGGCTATATAGAGATGAATACTGCCCAACTTTTAAAAATTGTTTTGTTTTCATGGGTTTTTTAACTGTATAGCTATACAGAAATTTTTGTACTTATGAGCTTTTGTACTTAACAAGGCCTAATGTTAGAATTGGAAAAATAAAATGTCTGAAATAGAGTAAATAAATGTGTCTGATGTGTAAAAAGCCAATGAGAGTTTGGGCGACAAAGGGCATACTTGGGTTGGACAAGTGACTAAAGTAATAAAATCTCCAGTAACTAGGGTTAGTGTGCCCTTGTTGCCCAAGCACTAGCTCTGTGCCAGAATAAAACAAGGTACACTAAGACAGTTTTATAATGTTAGATTCTTAAGTTCGTCTTTGTGAACTACACAAACTGCCAAATATCCGGTAGGATCCGCTCTCTTGTCTTTCCGGGGAAAACTCTCTCCTCCCAAGTCAGCTCCCGTGTAAATTGTAGGCCCACAGTCTTCCGTCCTCACCTGCCCTGTGGCTGCTCAGCTTGCTGCTACGTGTAAGGGTTCATTGTGTGTTGGTGTGTGGCGTCCTCACATCACCTGGGAATGTTTTGACCCTAAGATAAGTGACCAGAGTCAACACCCTGCTGAAAGTGCCAGCGGCTCCAGGCATTATTCCTCAAAAGGACCCGAACAAGCATGGTGTGCCTGGCATTCCTGCCGATCCGAGGGCCTCTGCTTTCAGGACAGAAATGGGATTGCCATTCTGTAGCATCTTCCATACGTAGAAGATTGTTTGGAGAAGGGAAGAAAGGAAGCTTTTTTTTCTACTTGTTTCTGCACATTCTCTTATTTTTCCTCCCCAATTGTATATTTTTATAAGAACATTTTAGAGTAGAACATGTGTCCTGGGGTATAATTTACCCTTCAGGTCATGCATTTATAGGCAGATACGAAAGGATGGTAAGGAAAGGCCAAACACAGAGGAGCCTCTGCTCCATTTCTTCCTCACGGTCCTTGGCGCCGGCTTACAGTCCGCAGTCAGCCTCCTCACACACTGACTTTCCATACAAGAATGTGGAGTTTGAAATATGCAGCGACTGGACAATCAAATAAAACTTTAAGTCTTTAAGAGAAGAAAGTTTAAGAGAAGAAAAGCAGATGTCCAGAACAGTGCGGAGCCCTGTGTTGCGAGGATGGAGAAGACTCTAAATGTCTTTTGCCTCTGAACCTGTTTTGATTAGAAGCAGCCTGAGGGGCTCCTTTTCCTGGGTTCTGGCTCGGTTCACATTTGGCATTTTTAGAGTTGAGCAGAGAGGCACCACCTCCCATTGTCTCAACAGAAAGCCTGGCTTTTGTGGGCCACACTGTGCCTGTTACTTCAGAACCATGCTGTTAACAGTGCCTCTTATCAGGCTGTTTATTTTTATGTTTTACAAGGAGTACATATTCATTGGGGGGGAGGGGAGTAACATAAAATCATACCTGATTCTTCTACCCAAAGATATGGGTAACATTCTTACTATCTATCCTCCCATGTGTTTTTTTATACATATATACATTATTTTGTAACCTGTTTTTATACTTAATAGTGAAAATATTTTCAATCAAATATATATCTACATCATTATTTTTCATGGCTCCATGATATCCTGTTATGTAGCTATATATAAGTTATTTAATCAGCTTCCTATTGCTGAACTTTTTGGTTGTTTCTAATTTTTATTAGTTTTAGAAAAAAATCCTTCTGCATACACCATATATTCTTCAATTATTTCATTGTGATAAAATAGAATTTATGGGTCCAAAAAAAATGCATCTATTTCATGCAAGGTTTCATACATATTGCAAATTACATTCCTGGCAGCCTGCTCCCACAGTAACATGGAATATTTTCATTCCTTTTTCTTTTTGCCATTTCGATGGGCAAAGAAACGTTATTTGTTAATGCTGCAGTGAAAAGATTGATGTGGGCTGTGTTTGTGTGAAGAGAGACAGGGTTAACATATCAATAATCTGTTGATAAAAGATATGGAGAGAAGCTTCTCATAAAAAACAACTGCAAATTCTTCTGCCAACAAATGATTCCACACAAAATAAGACAGCCTATTACTCGGTCCTCGTTATCTTGATCCCTGTGTGGTTGCCTGTGCCGACTATTCTATTCCACTGTCATGACCACCCCAGCCGGTATTAGTCCTCCCCTCTTGGGTATTCTTATTGCCTTCTAACCAACAAATATTTGCCATGGACCTTTTTTATGCTGGTAGTCTTCTTGCTTGCGGTTGACTTTAAGAGAAATCTCAAGCCTCAGGAGCTAACAAGCAATTGAAGAGACAAACACAAAAATGAAGACCTTGCCATACAGTGGAGCAGTGGCAGGAGGAGTTGAGGGGTAGGCAGGACCTCTCCTGGCCAGGACTTCCCGTGGGTCTTTGTAACAGAGTGTTTTCCAGGTTAACAGAAGTGGAACAGCCCTTCAAGGACAAGGAACCCTGTCAGTAAAGTCTATGAAACAGCAAGGATGTGCCCCATATTTGTTTCCTGAAGCCATGGTAACAAGTCACTACAAACCAGAGGGCTTAAAATAACAGCAATGTGTTCTTACCGCTCTGGAGGCCAAAAGTCCAAAATCAAGGTGTTGGCAGAGCTGGTTCCTTCCTGACCTGAGGGAGGATTCATTCTTGCCTCTCCTAGATTCCGGTGGCTGGTGGCTGGTGGCTGGTGGCTGGTGGCTGGTGGCAGGTCTTGGCCTTTTGGGCTTGTAGATGCATGACTTCAATCTCTGCCTCCATCTTCTCTCTGTGTCTTGGCTCTAGGGTCCACCCTAAATCCAGGATGGTCTGATCCCAAGATCCTTATTTACATCTGCAAAGATCCTATATCCAAATAAGTTCATAGTCACAGGTACCAGAGATTAAGACTTGGATATAACTTTTGAGGGAACACTGTGCAACCTACTACACACCCCAAAAACTGTAAGAAGAGCTTTACCAAATTGCACTTGTTTTAATTCTCTGAGCCTTTATTAGGGTAATGCAGTATTTTCTCTGTTATTTTTCTCTCTGAATTTCCATTCTGGTTTATATGTTGCTTAAGACTATTGTAATTATTCCTAATTTCTGATCTTGCATATATCCTTATACCTCAATTCCTTTGTGAAATATTGGGCAAACATACATATGAACAGAAAGCATCTGTCAGATTTGGGAGCATGCAGCTTCTTGGAGACTTTTTTTTTTTTTAACCAAACTAGTGCCATGGTATTGGAGGGAATGAGCAGCCAAGAGAAGAGAATGTGTCTCTTTCTAACAGAGAAGAAGAGAAAATGTACTAGTATGTCTCTTTGTAGACCCTTGGCTATGAAATGTTGACAGGACAGAGGACTGGCAGAGTCAGGTCACCGTTGACAGGAAAGTGCTGAAAGTGGAGTGGATGATGGAGAACTAAAGAAAACTCAATTAATGGCACTCGAGGAGGGAATGGATGGGTCCAGAGGGATGCATGAAAGGAGTTGAAGACTGGTGAGCGAGATGGGAAATGTTATCTTCAGTGTCTCCCTTTTGATGGAGAAGCTTTTCTGAGGATAAGGGGGTGACAGGCGTGGGGAGGTAGGGAAGGGCCACCAGAAGGAAGGGGAAAGGGGTGTCTCAGGGGGTCACTAGAACGGTGATGAGGACCCAGAGCGGGTTGGAAACCAGGAGTCTCCTGTCTCCTATTCACATGAGGAAAGGTCCTCTCGAGAAATGCCCTGTGGCTGCCCGAGTGAGGAGAGGAGGTGGGTACACATGCAAAGGAAGGATTTCCTGTGGGAAGAAAACAGACCATCGCTGTAATCTGCTTAACTTCTCATATCAGAGTTCAGGCCTGTGTACACCAGTGAACAGCCCTTACAGATTTCCACATACGTCCTCCTGAGTATGTCTACCAAACGTAGCTCAGCCTCTTGCACCCAACAGACCAGTATAAACTCATTGCTGATCAGATGCCATCACAAGGACGTGCCATTTTGAGCTCCGATGACCTCTGACCACCTCTCCGGGCCTGCTTCTTCATTCTGAAATTGGAAGCAGTCGCCCGCCCTGTGTGGCTCAGTGCTCGGCTCTGCCAGGCGTGTCCAGGTCAGCAATTAGGCCCTCACAGTAAGCAGCCAGAAGGGAAGCCACCATAAAGAACCCTGGGTTCACAGCTCCACCCCGTGCCCTGGTCCTGCCCTGGCATCCAGGGCACCCCGCCCTTGGGGAGCGTTTGCTTTCTTTAGTGGGCAAGACAGGTGCAATCCCCATTCAGCTCTACAGCAAAGATATAAGTCACACAATTGTGGGGCTGGCAAGTTCAAAACAAAATACATAGGGCAGGCCAGCAGGCTGGAAACGCAGGCAGTATTTTATCATTTTGAAGCAGGATTCCCCAGTTTTTGCCTTTGAGGCCTTCAGCTAATTGGATGAGTTCCACATTGTGGAGGATAATCTTACTTAAAGTCAACTGATTTGATCCCATCTACAAAATACCTCTCCTGCAACATCTAGTGTTTGGCTGCACAGCTGGGAGCCATAGCCTAGCTCATTTGACAAAATTAACCATCACAATAGTCTTTATCTCAAAAATGGAAACTTGAGTCAGAAACTTTGACAAAATCCTAATCCCTAGAACAAGGTACCAGGCCTGCTGAGTAACTTTTGCACCTTGGTAATAAGGTTACATTATTTATTCCTGCGTCCTACATAAAATTCTCCACAGACCAGAACCAGGCTGAACATCCGGGGAATGTTGTACCACATGCCCATGCAGCCGGGGAGGAGACTGGCTTGGTGCCGAGAAGCCTTCCTGACCAGAGTTTCCGACAGTGGGATAGGCCAGGGACACAGTGGGCTCCTGGTCCCAGAGGGTGAGCTACCAGAGCCGTGGAGATTCAAGCATCTACTGAGAGGGGGGCCGGGGACTGGAAGGAAGCCTCCCAGAGGGCCCATGGATTCTGGTAGCTCTAGATACTAGAAATGTTGCTCAGAAAAGTCCCTGCTTCCTCTTCTCCGCACCCCTCCTCCCCGCAAGTGAGGCGTCAGAGGTTGGGGCAGAACACGGAACCTCTCTGAAATGGAAACCATCTGTGCCTTTCTCACCCTCCTCCACCAGCCCCGCTCCCCTGGCAGCCAGCCTCGCCTGGGTAGTCTTCTGGGAGGGGAGCTACACCGCCTCGGCCTCCTTT